ATTACATGACAACATTATACCTATAATAAATGCACTAGTAATATGCATGGTTGACTACACAAGGTGGTATATGTAGTTGCTTACAAGATACGATCGGCGACTTATTTTGTGTACTCCGTTCCATCCTGCAAATAGCCAACTGACTATGTGCACTAATCAATTAATTAGCAAATATTAAGTTATATTATAGTCTTATATCTACTTAATTTTTACTTATGGCATACCAAAAGTAGTGAGGGAGGTACTTTATTTTTTTATAGAAAGCTTTAAAAAAATTTCTTTTTCTATGAACAGATAGAGCGTCTTTCGCTCTACTTTTCCATAGTATAACTTAATATTACTTAATAATACTTAACTTAAGACTATAATATAACTTAATATTTACTAATTAATTGATTAGTGCACATAGTCAGTAGGGCTGTGACAGTTACCAGTTACCGTTACCATCGTTCCCCGTTACTAACGGTAACGATAATTGACATAAAACTAATAAGCATCGTTCCTCGTTAGTAGAGGTAATGGTAATTGATATACAGTAAGAAATCCTTTACCCTCCAGTAACGAGGAACGATGCTTATTAATTTTATATCCGTTACCGGTACCTCTAGTAACGGACAACGATGGTAACGGTAACTGGTAACTGTCACAGCCCTAATAGTCAGTTGGCTGTTTGTACTTCAGTGTATATAGCCACTTCCTATTTTAAAAGTAGCATGTGTCTACTACAATTTATCTGCAAAGAACAAGTTGAGATATAATTTTATTTAAATAAAAAATTGATTTCATTGTCGCTGGGTGTCAGCTCAAATCATGGTTCTCATATTGAGTTGCTGATAACTCGATAACCACTTGTAACTTAAAGTTAATTTTTTCAGTGGTAGTGAGCATAGTTTAGATAAATAATGTATAAAAATTTCACTAAGATTCATTAACCAATAAAAAAAGTCATAGGTTTTTTACATGTCGGATATGAATGGCACAATGGCAGCGCAAATCACTCACATACCGATCGTTTTCACTGATGAAGTTCTGTGGTACAGAACGAAACGTCCAGAACAAATAAAGCTGTTACTCTATAAATATGTTTGAAAGGACGACCATAGTCCTATTATCCTTACTGAAAATTTTCTTATAAAGATATTATTTAATTAAAGACAAAGGATGGAACGGAGTACACAAAATAAGTCGCCGATCGTATCTTGTAAGCAACTACATATACCACCTTGTGTAGTCAACCATGCATATTACTAGTGCATTTATTATAGGTATAATGTTGTCATGTAATTTTATACACTTTAGTCTTTAAAAGAAAAGCAACGCGAGCTTTAAGAACTGCAAGAAAACACTTTCGTTGCATAATTATTTTCACTATCTTATTAGAAACAATGAAGTAACAGTGAGACGGTGTTTCCGTTGTCAAACTAACAAACGCATGATCCATATATATTCCGCATGAATAATTGAATCTCAATTTATGATGAAAGTACGTTAGGTACTAGCGTAAAAGTTTTACATACATGTATGTGTCTTTATCTTGGAATCGATAAGTCAACTGCTTTTTTACTTTGTTAAAGGTACCACACCTTGAAAAAGCTAAAAACTCATCCCTTGTCAGGCGGAAGACGTACGATATCAACGGATATTCCCTCTGTAACTTGTCTTGGAGCGAGTGACTTCCAGAAATGCTTTTCAATACATTGTCTTTTTGATGGATAAGATGGAACTTGTGGCACGATTTCTTGTACCTTGTTTTGTCGCTGCACTAATTAGTAACTATCGCCCCGTTATCAGACTCAATGGTGTTTTGGAAAAAACCTGAACTTATGCATCTTTCAGACTGCTTTCTTTGCACTATAAAACAATGTGTTCCTGCTTAAAATATGTCTGATTTTAGATATAGTGTACCTCGAATGTGTACAAGACACTAACCATTCAAGATCTAGTTATTCAAAGGCTTCAATCTTCTTCTGAGTACAGCCGAGAGTGTGCTTAAATTTTTCGTTTTAGTTAATCTAAAATTTCGGATTATACTAAATTTGTAATGTCCTTGATCGACTCAAATAAAAGGTTAAACAATGTTCGACTTATCAAACATGGATCTGTTGGCGAACAAGCGTCAAAAGAGAGAAAACGGATACCCCTGAAAGACAGGTACAATCCTAAAGCTTCATGTCGTAGATTTCTTTGTGAGAATAGAATTTTTCTATGTTTATGTTAGACTGGAATTGTTTAGAACTCCAGCCAGTCATTTAAGTGTTGATTGTGCTGGCAGCGACGAAAGTGATGAGAAACAACAGAAGACAAAAGCTGCTGGTTATTTAAGTCTTGTAAGTCGTATTTGTTGTGCTTGTTACATGTTTGATAGTATCCCTAATCAAAACAGTAAACTCATTATTATCTCATAATATCTGGTTGTAAGGATAAAGACTATTCATAGTTTTACGGATGAAGATAGCACGATGAAAAATTAGGTGAGGTTTAATGCGCATCTAAATGTGTCCTTCAAGGCAAAATCCTTGCCTTGTTCTGTATGATAGAAGAGTGTGTTTGTTCCCTGCTACAAAGTCTGGTTACAAACTATGGGCTCAGACGGCGATGGCTCACATTGAAGTAGTCCTCTTAGTCGTTGCTGGCCCTGACGGCATCGGTCTTCTAGCGGATTAACTTTGCAGATTCTAGGATAATGCCTTAGAATCCAAAAATTAATGCTAATAGATATGAATGTTTATACTTAATATGAATGCCAACGTGTAGACTCAGTCTCGTCAGCAGATACAACAAGCTAGATAAATGATGGAATAAATTTAATGTTTTTAGTTTCGTTATACCGATTGCATGGATAAAATCTACATCTTAGTAGCGATTGTTAGTGCCTTAATTAGTGGTGTAATTATCGCAATTTTTTGTTTAATATTTGGTCAATTAGGCGGATTATTTTCACAAATAACAACTGATTATGGTCAGATTAATTTTATTACACTGAGTAGAGGTTGTCCATACGGTGTGATATTAAATAAATACAATATTTTCTTTTCCCATAAGTAAGTCAGTAAGGTTGCAACATACAGTCTGCGTATGGAAAGATAAAAAGTTGACGAAACGGTATTTATTTAATTGTTAGAATATGCAATATTGACTTGAATCATCATGTTTTGTTAAAGGCAAAACACTTTTACCATCAAGTTTATACAAGACTTGGTTATTTGTTAAGTAAGATAGACGTTTATACCTCAAATACTATTCAAGAAAAAATGCCATGTTTATCCGCTGAAGCACTTCGAGTTTCTAAACTACCTTTGACATCGATGTATCGACTTAAACAAACCTTATCAAGCAGCTCCAGTTTTTGCCAATATTTTTCACACATGTCTATAAAACTACAGGATTAACTCTTGCGCAGTTTTTGTGTCGTTTATCAACTACCGGAAGTTTGAGCCAGTTCAATAAGCGCTCAAGATGCCCAAGGTCAAACAGTTCGTTGGCCTAAGATTGAAAAGTAGATGGTTCTTATCCGCTTCGCCGATAAGAATGCGCTAATTTAAGCTGAGAGATTATCATATTTGGATCGAGTATATGCTTTTTTTGCCTAAATTTGACGTGCACGCAGGTCGATAAACGTTTTTATCGAAGGTCGCTGTCATGTGTTTGTCTAGAAGTTTCCGAGCAAACTTGATGTTTCAGAACATATTGTTTTGTACCTCCGATGCAGTGTTTTGAATCCGAATACCACCTTGGTTTTTAATAAAAATACTACTATAAATTAAAACAATTAGATGTCTCATTTTTTGTCTCCAAAACAGACATTCATACAGGATGGTCCAAAACAAAACTTACTCCCGCTGTATTTATTGGCTTTCTTGTGTACAAATATAATTGAACTTTTACCATTAATTTAGCCAAGTAGAGCAAAGGTTTTAGGATAAAATGAGATGTCTCTGAGCGCTGTACGAGCTTTTCTCATGAAACACCATTCAATTTACGGAAGGTCCCACACCACCAAAAGCAGCACAATTAACGGGAAAACAAGAAAGATACGCTCTTATGGCCTTACGTAAATTGAATGCTGTTTCATGAGAAAAAGCTCGTAGACGTCTCACTTTGTCCAGAAATCTTTGCTCTACTCGACTAAACTGATGGTAAAAGTTCAATTATATTTGTACACAAGAAAGCCAATAAATACAGGGGGATAAGCTTTTTTTGGGCTACTCTGTAGTTTGCTAGTATACGTGAAATGCCCAGTTCTAGTTCCAGAAAATGATATTTGTGCCTTGCACTTCGTAAAGATACAGACGTGCTTTGAAAACCTTACTAGTGGCAAAAACGTTTTGATCTAGATGAAAAACAATTTTACCGCTGATTGAGAGCGGCGAGCGATGCTTTGGTGAGGCACTTGACCTTGTTCATCATGTGATGCACATATTCTACTCTATTTCCGCCCATAACTGATTTGGTCAAGCACCTCACGAAGATTTAGAGGCCTATGAGGATCCGATGATTTTCATCTGAATGCAGAATTCTAGTCTACACTCGACGAGTTTCGCGCTTTGTCAAATCTTAAAAATCGACTCAAACTTTGCACAAATGTGCTTCTACCCATATTACGTATACCGTCTTAGGCGAAAATAACGCAAAGCGGTTAAAGTTCTTATTTGTTTATGAAAAATCCTTTCCTTCATTTCGAAAGCGAAAAAAGAAACCAATGTGCTATTCGTAATCGTCGTGGGAAATTGCATCGAATCATCTGTAGGGAAACGATCTTCAAATATTCACTTCTACCAGATCTTAGAAAATAAAGTTTGTTCCAAGAGTGGTTCTCGAGAAGAGACTTATCGGGTTGTAGTAACGTTTTTTAAAGATTTCTGGAGCTTCAAGGGGGGGGAGGGGGGCATCCCCCTATATGCCAATATCCCTCAAACTGTGTCAGTTTGAAGAGGACACCTGATTACTTATATCCTTCAGTTTTTTCGAAGAACTGATAACTATTCATCGAGTTATTAATTAATCAAGTTTAAATTTTAATTAAAATTTAAGGTCCAAGTTCCCATTTTAAAAAACTTGTAGCTCAGTCAGAAATAATCCTGGAAAAGTCATTCATGCATTGCTTGATAGCCAATGGTCTGTTGTTATGGTTTGGTGAAATTCTACATGGAATAAGTGGAACGGTTTTTCTTTTCTAATGACAAAAACTTTAGAAAATTATTAATTATAAAATTTTAAAATTAAAAGTTGTTTAATTTTCCTTCAACTTCTGCTCAAAACTTCTTCTTGAAATTCCGTTCCGCTTACTCCATGCACAATGACATCAGCTATAACTTCATCAGCGAAAGTTTTTCTCGGAAATTC